ACATCCTTACATCTTTGGAAAAGGGGTTGGGTTTTTTAGCTTTTGAATCCTTCTGGACCTGACATAATGCTCCATACTAAGTAAACTCCCCAAAGCCCTTTTTTTCTTTAACAGCAACAACAAAAAGAAGTTAATACTTCAAGAAATGTAATGATCCTCAACTTAACTGGATCTGGAATCAACTAAAAGGCAAACTGCTGGGTGTACCTGTGAGGAATTTAATAAATCAGGTTATTTGAAGGGAGAAGACCCACCCAAAATGTGGGCTCCCCTTCCAATGGCAGCACAAATACAGAAGGTCACAGAGAGAGAGAGAGAGAGAGAGAGAGAGAGAGAGAGAGAGAGCACTTTGTCGCTGCCGCTGCCACGTCTGGCTATTGTCTCCAAGCGTTCACCTCTGGCCTCATGGGCTGTGCCCTATGGATGGCTCATGAGCTTGAAGAAGAACAAAGCCTGGGTTTTGGACCACCTTAAATGGTAAGCAGGCATCACCCAAATGTAGACAACGGAAGCACTGACATCCATTTTCTGGGACAGCCCTGAAAGGCTTAATTCACAGGGGAGAACACTGAACTGTGCACATGGTAGTACATGTGCTTGGTTTTGCTGGATGGTCAGGGACACGGAAGACCCATGCATAGAAGCTGGTGAGAACAATGTTTCGGGTAGGGTGTGCAGATAGATCTCTACAAAATGGGAGAAAAGGGATTTGTATCCCATGTAAATTCTCATCAAAAGATGTTAGCAGAGAAGGAGATCATCAATCAAGGAGACGGGATAACCCTTTCAGTGTGCAGTTAGACTCTTTCCCCAGCCATCTTTGCCACAGCCCAAAGGCCCACAAACAAAGTGAATCCTGGGTGCTGGGGTGAAGGCTATGCATGGGCTAGACAACATGGATAACCACTCACCTAGGCTGAACCAACTGTGGCTGCTGCTCAGGGTCAAATCTTTCAGACCTGAGCTAAAGACAAACTTTCATAATTAAATCTCTTGTGTCATTATTTGGGAGTGTTTGGAGGGACAGAGAAAGACTCCTCACAACATCCTCTGAATAGCAGGCACAGGGTAGCACATGAGGCCACACCTTAGTAACCAGCAGCTCCTACCATCTGGCAACAGTTATCTTGGCCAGGGGAATGAGCCATAATAGAGGACAGAAAAGACAGAGCTGGGGCTCAGCCTAAGGGACTATGGGGGAACGCCTCCCTCATCCCTGTTGAGTAAGGCTTTCAAGGTGTGGCCAGTTGGGCAAATAGTGCCTACACCCCTGTAAGCAACCCCTGGCTATAAGGTTCCCAGGCATAAATTTTGACAGAATTATCCCTCAGTTTATCATTGAGACCCTGGAAGGAAGACGTTGCTTTATGTATTCCCCAGAGAAGGAATTTTAGCAATACCTACACATAACACTTCCTCCAATACTGTCTTCCATGGACTTACAGGATGACTTATCCACCATCACATTCTACACAGCACTATTTCACAGCCAACCCAAAGAAGTGTGACAGTGTGGTCATGGTCTTAGAATTCATTGATCTTACCATGTTCCCAAACACGACGAAGTAACTAGACGGAACCACAGAATGGCCTTTTGAAGACACAGTTACAAAACTAATCAGGGGCTAAATATGATGGCACTCAGTAGGCAGAGGCAGGCAGATCTCTATGAGACCAGCGTGGTCTACCCATCAAGTTCCAGACCAGTAAGAAGTACATGGAAAGTATTGTCTTTAAAAATAAATTAGGTAGCAATAGCCTAGAGAACCAAAGTAGGGTTCTCTAGAGGTCGCTACATACTTTGAATCAACAAGCAGTAGATATCATTGTTTCTCCGACAGCCAGGATGCACAGATCTAGGACAGGCGACAAATGGAAATGGTATCATTCAACATCACCCCAAAGACCCACAAAGAAAATGTTTATTTCCAGTTCCCTCTACTGTATGCTTTGCTGAAATGTAAGTTTTGGTTATGGGGGAGTACTCCTGCCAGGAGACAGAAAACATTCTACTCTAAAGAAAGCTAAAATTTTTCCCGGTGCACTTTGGGTTCCTGATGTTTGGAGGGTGATGGATTCAAAACCCCAGGGGGAAAATGGACCGCGTCTCCACACTGGAGATAAGGAAGACTATGTCTAGAACCTGGGGGATCCTTTAGAACATCTCTTGGTGTTACCACGGCCTGTGGTTTAGGTCAGTGGTAAACTAGAACTACACATGTCAGGCAAGAAAAGTGGCCCCGACACGTCAGGAGTGAAAGCATAGTCACACCTCCAGGCAAAGAACCAAACCCTGTGAGGTGCTGGCTGGAGGTGAAGGAAACACAGAATGGGTAATGGAGGATGTCAGATGTAAGGACCAGCCATGTGACCAGTTACAGAAATGAAGATTGTAATTTCCAGGAACGATTTTTCCCTGGTTTGTTAAGAATGTTCAACAGATGTGTTTTATTTCCTCCCTCTCTTTATCATGTAATGTAACACTGACTGTGACAGCAGCAGTGACAAAGGATTCTAAGTTTATCTCTCCACACTGAGCTTTCAATACTAAAAGACTAAGAATTCTTCATGATACCATGTCTATTGCGAGGGAAAATTATGCATTTGCAGTTGTACCTGGGATAGATATATCACGTTAGAAAGTTATGATATTTTTATTGCTGTCAGCTGGAAATTAAGCATGACACAAGGAATGGTGATTGTGTGTCAGACTGACTGTAGCTACCAAGGTTTCTTCCCTTCTCTCCTGGCGATTGCAGGGCTGTGTGACCTCCGGCTCCCTGGAGACTCTGCACTAGCTCTGGCTTGAGGGGATAATTTAGCAAGAACCTGGTTCTCTTTGTTATGGTGATTCCACTTGTATTCAAGGTTTTAGCAATGGGCCCATAGCCTGGCTCCCCAGCTGATCCTGCTCCAGGTGCTGGGAAGACTTTAATCTTCTCCTCCTGCTCCTGGATGGGAGGAGGCCTTGCATTTTCGATCCTTCTAGCCCACTGGTATAAATACCCGACTTGAGTTTAATAAAGTTGCCATTTACTCTGGTAAATGAGCAAAGGTCTCTTTTGTGTGTGTCTCTTTTTCAACCCTCAGGACAATCGTCCATTCTCGTGGGCCCGAGTTCGGGAAAGCGCGCAGCCTGAACCGGGTGTGGGTATCCATTGGAAAGTGCAGACTCTTACAACTGACAAGAGGGGACTGACTTGTAAGGCTGATCGTACCTAGCAACTTGACTAGAACTGGAATCAACTAAAGTGAGGCCACTAAGTACTCCTGTGAAGAATTTTCTCAGTCAGGTTATTTGAAATTAGTGGGATTTGAAATCCCACTCTGTGTGCAGTACCTTCTAGGGGCGGCCCAGCAACGATGGAGGCAAAGAAAGAAAGCAGCTTTGTTCTGTGATTGCCTTTGCTCTCCCTGGGGAACTCATCTGTCCTGCTTCTGCTATTGCAGCAAGTATCTTTAACTGACACAAGATGGCAGCTTCTTGGGCCTTCCACCTGGACTGAAGACCCTTGTTCTCCAGAAATCCTTGAAGCCCTCAGCACCAAACTGAGATGCTGGTACACCCACCTACTGACTTCTCAGCCTTCCCAGTATGACATAGCCACACTGTCCAGTTTGGATTGCGCAAGCCAGTGTAATGAATGTCCTTTTGATACACATGTATTTATTATCAGTACTGTTCTTACAGCAAACCCTAACACACATTTCATGAAGTCAAACTATATTCATAATTTCACAATATTCATAAATTCATAATATTCAAGACAACATGATTTGGCTAAGTATAATGGCTCAAGTCTGTAATCCCAACACCCAGAAGATTATGGCATGAAGCCTTTATGGGCCAGACTAAACTACAAAGTAAAAACATGTCTCAAAAGGGATTAGGGGCTAGAGAGATGGCTCTATGGTTCTTTAAAAGCACTGGTTGCCCTAACAGAGGACCCAGATTCAATTCCCCAGGACCCATATGAAAGCTCACAACCATCTATAACTGTAGCTCAAGTCCAGGAGCTCTGATACTTTCTCCTCAGGGACCAGGCACACAAGTGGTCCACAGATATATATGCATGCAAGCAAAACCTACACATAGAATTATTTTATTCTGGGTGGATATAGTTCCATGACCTAAATATATATGTCATTAAAAGACCTTCCTTTTCCAAAGTCCCATACCTAAAGTGTACACCATGGTTGAAAGCACATACCCATCAATTATCTTCCCTATCAACAAAAGAATACAGGAACAATCACTTCTCAACTTTTGCTTGCAACGAAGAGTTCAAGTGGACATAGTGGCCACCTGTGATCAATATTTAAAGAGATACTTTGAAAGAATGTCAAAACTAGAAAGAATATAGGTCACTAGGGCATCATAGAAACATTCCACTACCCCGGGGTGCCTATCTAGACAGACGTGACTGTGTACAACACTGCAGCTTACAAACATACTCCAAACTGGAATTATGCAGACAGTTAAAATACAGGGAACACAAAGGATAACTGGTAAATTATAATTCACCAGGAAGAGTATGATTAACATTTAATACATGGAAGAAGCACATGTAAAAACCAGAAAATTGCAGCCCTCATTCATAGAAGCTAGTGTGAACATGACAGCAGCTGATGTTCCTGACACTATCAACCCGTGTGAGGTCAGCAAATCTGTTCTTTGAATGTGTCAATCAAGCAAGAAAACAGTATCTTTTCATGGTATTATAAGGAATTAGTGAGAAAACTAAGCAAAACCTTTAGAGTTGCAGACACAAGCCACAGCATCAATTATGACCACCCGATAGCAACTTATGCAGCAGAGGCATTGGTATTAATACTACACTACAAACGCATGAACTCAATAACACTTTCCTCAATGCTGACAGTGTGACCTTTTATCGCTGCCTTGATCTGATTCAGCACCACAGCACAGAAAAAAAGAGTGAGCAAAAACGTCACAGCAAAGGTTACAGATAACAAGGCTTCAATTTAAACATCCTTACCCCGAAGATCCAATACTCTTACAAACACCAAGAAGAGGTCTTTTCTCAGCAAAGTTATCACATTTTTGAGCACCTGTTAGAAAGCAAAAGACAAAAAAAGTATGATTGAGTATATTGTATATTTGCCATTATTTCAAAATATTTACAACAGAGGATGGGATAGAGCAATGGGAAATCACTAGTTTGCCATGTACAGAACAATGTCTACATCTACACAAGTTTGTGAATGTGTGTGTTTACATTCATACATATACACAACAGAAATGTGTTCAGTACAATGCACTCAGTCCACTTGAACGCACAAAATAAAAACTGAAGGAAAAATATTTTAAATATTAAAGATACTGACATTTTATTAAAGATTTGTTTGATTGGCAAATGTTTCAGTCTTACCAACATTCTCTATGGGATCAAAAACCCCATCTTATAGTGCTGACTAGCTCATTATGACTGGCATGTTTGCCAGCCTGTGACGGTGCACAACTTTTAATCTTAGCAGAGTTCAAGGCCAGCCTGATCTAGAATTCCAGCATGGCCATGGCTACGCAGAGAAATCCTATCTTGAAATCTCTCCCCGCCCAAAAAAAAGATTAGCATGTGCATAACACCCAACTATTATGATAAAAAAATTATAAAAATATATCATAGTAATTTATGCATGGATGCAAACTTTTTAATGAAACAGTTTCATGAAAGTCACCTAAGAAATAAGACGAATCCTTGCTAGTTGTTGCGATATACAAATGCTGGAAACTAGACTAACCATTAATAACTGCCAATGTAGCACATACGGAATAAAGATTTGACTCAACTCTATACCTACTCCTGCTAGCAACAAAAGAAAACAACAAAGTTAAAACGTCTTATTTTGTTTTACCTCTGCAGCCTGGGCAGGCCCTGAACTCCAGATCCTACAGCCTCAGCAAGTACTACCATAACACCTAGGTTTTTTTTCATTCATTGCTTTATTTTTATGTATATGGATCTTCTGCGCATCTATGTCTGTGCAAAATCTGCCTGCAATGCTCTAAGACCAAAAACAGGGTGTCAGCTGCCCTGGAACGAAGTTACAGATGGTTTATTGTAAGCCACCATGCGAATTCCGGTACATGAGTCCTCTGGAAAAGCAGCCAGTAATCTTAACCACTGACCCATCTTTCCAGCCCCAATTTTCTTTTTTATTTCTCCCTCTCTCTTTGAGAAGGTCTCATGTATCGAAGGTTAGCCTTTAACTTACCATGCAGCCAAAATTGGCTTTAAACTTGCTTCTACCTCCTAGAGTGCTTCTACCTCCCTAGAGTGCTCAAAAATAGTTGTTTTAACACAGTACTGACTATTTACAGAAACAGAGACTAAAATAAAAGTTAACAGTTCAGAGTATTCCCACTCAAGTCAGTAAGGACACAAGTGTGCTCAACATCAACGTTCTCATTCAAGGCTATGCCAGAATACTAGTCAACATAATAATAAATGGACTCCGCAATATTCCTTAAGATAAACCAAGTGCAGGGTTGAAGAGACACTTCAGTAAGTCAGGTGTGTGTCTTGAATACACAGAGCTGAGTTTGATCCTCAGAACTCATATTAAAAATAGTAGTACTTAGTAGTTTTGCTCTTGTAGAAGACCTGGCTTTGGTTTCCAGCACCCGAGAGCAATTCACAATCCTCTGTAACCCCAGTTCCAAGGGATGTGCCTTCCCCCTCTGGCCTCCTCAGTAAATACACATACATGTGATTCACATACACATAACTGAAAACAAACCTTTAAAAAAATAAAATTAAAATAATAAATACACTTTGGGCCCAAATGACATAAAAAGATGTTCAACCACACATTTAAGAGAAAGTCACAAAAACCATGTTAATGGTACTAGGAGAGCTTGTGCTGTTCCTGGTCTACTTCTTAGAGCACCTAAAGCACAGGAGGAGGGTAAGCAGTCTGACCCTCGTCATGCCTGCTCAAGGGGTGAAGAAACTCCCACATGACAGACTTCCTCCACTGCCAGGACCAAAGAATTAAAAAAAAAAAAACAACCAAGAAACAAAAAACTATTTCCATCCATTTACGTGCAAATTTCACGATGTCATTGCTTTTCACTGAGTAGTACTCCATTATGTAAATGTCCCACATTTTCTCTACCCATTCTTCCAGTGAGGGGCATCTAGGTTTGTAGGTGGAGACTGCTCGTTCGTTCCCAGCTGCCCAAACCCGAATAATTACACAGAAACTATATTAATTGCAACGCTGTTTGGCCTATTAGCTCAGGCTTCTTATTAACTAACTCTCACATCTTAAATTATCCATTTCTATTAATCTGTGTATCGGCGTGAGGCTGTGGCTTACTGGTAAGGGCCCGGCGTCTGTCTCAGCTACATGGCATCTCCCTGACTCTGCCTATGCTCTCTATAAATCTCTTCCAGCCTGGCTATACTCTGTCCTGCCATAGGCCAAAGGAGTTTCTTTATTAACCAAGAGTAATAAAACATATTCACATCATACAGAGGGGAATCCCACATCTTAGGTTGTTTCCAGGTTTTGGCTATTACAAACAATGCTGCTAGGAAGATAGTTGAACAAATGTCCTTGTAGTAGGATTCAGTACCCTTAAGAGTGGTACTGATGAGTCCTGAGGTAGGTTGATTCCCAATTTTCTGAGAAAATGCTATACTGATTTTCAATGTGGTTGTACAAGTTTGCACTCCCACCAGCAATGGAGGAGTGTTACCCTTACTCCGAATCCTCTCCAGCCTATGCAATCATGGATGTTTTTCATCTTAGCCAAGCTGACTATTGTAACCATCCTGAGTGAGAAAACCCAGACCCAGAAAGACAAACACAGTATGTACTCAGTAATCAGTGGATATTAAATGTAAAACAAAGGGCAACCAGCCTACAGTCCACAATCCCAGAGAAGCTAGATAACAAGAACACTACGAGAAACATCCATGGATCCCCTGGGAAGAGGAAATAGACAAGATCTCCTGAGAAAATTGGGAGCATGGGGGTGAGGGGTGATGGAAGGCAGAAAGGGGTGGAAGAAGGGAAGAAAGGAAGGGGAAGGAGAACATGAAGGAATGGGATGGTCGAGATGGGGGAAGGACAGAGAGAGAGAGCAAGGAAAGAGATATCTTGATCAAGGGAGCCATTTGGGGCTAGTGAGAAACCTCGCAATAGGGAAATTCCCAGGAATCAACAAGGATGACCCCAGCTAAGACCCTAAGCAATAGTGGAAAGGGTGCCTAAACTGGCCTTCCCCTGTAATCAAATTGATGACTACCTTAATTATTACAAAAATTTCATCCAGCAATTGATGGAAGCAGATGCAGAGATCCACAGCTAAGCAGTGGTCTGAGCTCCCAAAATCCAATCGAAGAGAGGAAAGAGCAGTAATACAAACAAAGGGGTCAAGACCATGAGGGGACACCCACAGAGGTAGCTTACCTGAGCTAACCGGAGCTCACTAACTCCAGCCTGACAGTGGGGGAACCAGCATAGGACCAAACTAGGCCTTCTGAATAGGGGTGACAGTTGTACGGCTGGGGCAGACTGTGGGGCCACTGTCTGTGGGGCCAGGATTTATCCCTCCTGCTTTAACTGGCTTTTTGGAACCCATTCTCTTTGGAGGGATACCTTGCTCAGCCTAGATTGGGGGGGGGGGGGGAAGATTTGGTATGATATGCTGGACTTTGTTGACTTCTAGATGGGGGTGGGGAAGTTGGAGGGAGCAGGAGGAGGAGAGAGAGAGTAGGAACTGGTATTGGTATGCAAAATGAGAAAAGATTGTTTCTTAAAAAAAATAAATTGTAGTGAGCTGCTTTGTGCAGCACCTTAAAGATGGTGCTGACCTCTACACTCCACCACCACTCCCCCCCCCCCCTACCCCCCCCACCCCGTGGAATGTGCTTTCAGTTGTAAATAACTCCATACGTGGCTAAAGCTAAGGATCTGGCTTGTTTCTGTGTACCTGGGCCTATCCGAATTTCCCACGTGGCTTGCTGGAGTTGGCTACCCAGGGGCTATTTTAGATTTGGGCTGGCTTTCCCTCTATTTTAGATTTGGGCTGGCTTTCCCCAGAGTCAGAAGATTATTCAAGGTTTCCTGATTAAATTGCAATTGAGAAGAGTCCGGTGTTGCGTTTTCTTTGCTGGCCAAAGCGATGCAACAATAAATTAATTTTAAAAATGTGCAAACTTAGTGAACACACTGGAGATAATCCTTCTCTCACTCTGGCTTTCTACAAACGCCAGCCTTCCATGACTATCACTCTAGTCCCTGCTTCCCATCAGATTTCCTGTAGAGACTCCCATGCGTGTAAAAACCCCATTGTATAGCACGTACATGATTCTGCCATTCCTCCTCTGATGCCATCCTAATGCTTAGGATCAGTCACCAACTATGGGAGGTTGGGAGGTTAGAGGAGAAGCTCTTACGCTTCCACAATACAATTGCTTGCTAAACTTTTGCTTTTAAAATTTGCTTTTGTTTGATTGTTTGTGGCTGTTGGTTGTGGTTCTTTTTTTCTTTTGGAGACAAAGACCCTGACTGAATAATCTACCTTGGCTGGCCGGTCAGGCTAAACTTGAACTCAAAGAGACACGCCTGCCTTTGTCTCCTAAGTTCCACCACACCTAGTAAAGATTCTTTAGATCAAAAATAAATTAAAAATAAAAAAACTAATATCTTATATAGGATGGTTTGGTAGAAGAGAAATAAAATGTAATAAAATCAGATGGATCATCAAATGATAGGCAGTATCTCATATATTATTCCAAATACTTTAGATAAATCAGAAACTTTTCAGCTGGGGTGGGTGAGATGGCTCATCAGATACACATGCTTGCTAGGCCAGCCTGATAACCTGAGTGAGATCTCTAGGACCCACAAAAGGAAAAAACAAATTCCCAATAGGTTTTCTCTGATCCCTAATAACTCCATGGGACAAGCATGTCTTGTTGACCGTGCCTTTTGCTTTTCAGAACTTCTCAGTAAAAAATTAATTTCTTGAGACATTCCACTTAAAATCTAAATTGTGTTCATATAAATTGACATTTATCAAACGCAGGATTCAAATT